CAACACATTAATGTTGAATACTGCCAACAAAGGTTCCAACACATTAATGTTGAATACTGCCAACAAAGGTTCCAACACATTAATGTTGAATACTGCCAACAAAGGTTCCAACACATTAATGTCGAACACTGCCAACAAAGGTTCCAACATATTAATGTCGAATACTAGTCAGAGTTAAATTGACAAATGTGTGGTTTTTGTGAAATTTTTGTTTTTACTCCACTGACTTTCTCAAATGCTTTGGTAGCTTGTTACTTTGCAGTTGGTTTGTGTTCTACTCAACAGTGTGTGTAAAGTGCTTATAAAGTTTTGTTTATATGCTGTTTTTAGTGTGAGATTTTAATTTGTATAGCCCATCCGGCCTATTCCTACTGTAAGTACTACCTACGATATTCCAGAGAAAAAAAATTAGGGATGGTATGGACGATGATAACGACTATTAGGACATCCTGATACTGAACCTGTCTAAACAAATTTACTATTCCCAATGTATTTAAGTTGATTTGTATTTTTAAAACCTAGCTTTGTAATCCTAGTAGAATATATTTACGGCTGCTTGTTCAATTTTATTAAAATAAACCCGATCCAATAGTCAGTGGCTAAAGTTGGAGCCCTACATTTATTTCCCTTGTCGGCATTTCTTAAGTAAGTTTGTCAGGCTCTTCGGGCACCCTTTTGGCTCAATCCCTCCCCGCAATTTCAGAGGCATACTTTCGCCACTGCCAGTAATCTACACTTTTTGTTACTCATCATCACTTTCATTCTCTACAAAATGAGGCATCGTGTACTTTCAATACGAAGTAATAACGATTGCTGCGTATTTTCTTCATAGTTGACCATTAAAATAAAAAGTCCACGTAAATGCTTATAACTTCTACGATATTTGACGTAGCGATCTGTACTATAACTCATTTCTTTATTATATTCTCGGGCAGTTTTCTAAATCGGTTTTAGTACTCCATATTTATCAACAAGTACGCTACAGGACCCTAAATACGGATGGAACTGCGTTTGTGAACATATGTTTTCACTCATTTTACACATTATTGTGTAAATTTTGAATTAAATAATTCTAAACCCCTTAAATTAATGTTACATCTGTACCAAATACCAAGTGCATATCATGAGGATTTTAGTACCTTAGCTTCTACAGAACATGACGGATAATACACATAAAGCTAGTGATTTGGCACAGCCACCTAAGAAATATTATGCCAGATATACACGCCCAAATAAAGATAAACTTCAGAATATGCCATCAAGGATGATACCCTTGACCCTATTGACACACGGACTATTGTGACATATGCTCACTGAAGAAATAAAATCGGTGGGAAAGTTTCTATGATTATTATGCTGTTCTCGTTTGCACATTAGGTTATATAAATACTATAAAACATACAATTAAAATGTAAATTAGACGTTTTGCAATTAAAATATTATTTACGAACATCCGCCGCTCACATAATGATTTGTTAAAAATTGTGATATTTTTGAAGTGAGGAAACAAAGA